GGGGGGGGGACAGACAGAGCCGTGGTAACCTTTGAGACTTGCCCTCTGACCCTGTGCATGTTTTCTCGAAGAATGTTCCCAGGAGGGTCAGCTCTCTTTCTCAGATGAAAGTCCTACTGACAACCACCAGTGAATGTGCACAGTATTACAGCTTCTAATTGGTCAATTTGCAGCATAAGCATTTGTGAGCAAAGGGCTCTTAATTTGCCTCCAAAATAAACAGCTCAAAGGCAATGCCAGTGTTTATCCATAATGAGTTCTTAACAGGGATAATTTTTTACCATCACGAATGTCAGCAGGACTTATATACATTTAACAGTGGGATCCGGGGTAGGCTTGCTGCGGCCCAGACCTTGAAATACACAGGCTTAGGTTAGAGTAACTCCGCAAAGACTAGAATATACTCCAGGTTAAAGCTTAATCCAATCCTGCACAAACATGCCCATGCATTATTGCTGTGTTCCGATAGCGTGACTTTTAACAGTAAGCCCCCACAAGTGGCACTCTGAAATGGCAATGTAGAAATATCATAAATGAATAAAACACATGCTAAGTAACCTGTTTGACTCTAGACGATAAGTACTTCTTCAGCCATCCTAGTGTAGACTCTAAAATCAACTGTAGGCCTACCTAAAAGCCCAAAGCTATCCTTATTCTTCCGAAATGTGTGCTACTTCCCTAACTCCGCAACTGGTTTCTTCACATGGGATCTCTGATAAATGTGAATTTTCTGCATAGCAAAAGAACTTCCCTGTATACTTCAGGGATGGAATTCTCCCTGTGTGTCCCCCAGCATCGAAGCTGCTATCATCAAGATATGGTCATTCCCACTAGGTTTTATAAAGCTTTAAAAAAAGAGAGAGAGAACAGCAATTCATGGAGGATATGTTTTATCACTGGGTTGTAACTATGATAGCCAAATCAAACTTCCACTTTCAGAGAAGTATACGTGAGTAACAGATGCTAGGGCATATGGGAAGGCTGTTCCCTTTCTCTACTTTTTCTCAGTCCTCCAGAGGCAGCTGTTTCACTGCTGTTGAAAACAAAGGCTGGTCTAGATAGAACGTGGTTTAAAACAGGGTTGATCAAGGTGGGTAGCCATGCGAGTCTGTCTGTAGCATAGAAAAGAGTGCGAGTCCAGTAGCACCTTAAAGACTAACAACATTTGTGGCAAAGTAATGAGTTTTTGAGTGACTGCTGACTGCTTCAGGTACAGCTTTATCTGTATGCAGCATCTTGGGAAGTGAGCCAGTGACTCACAAAAGCGCACACCTTCCCACAAATCTTGTTAGTCTTTAAGGGGCTACTGGACTCTCACTCTTGTCTACTAAAACAACAGGGCAATTGTTAAAGTTCTAACACACATGCACATTGAAACCCTATGGCTTGGACTATCTGTGTTTTGATTTAAAGACCTTTTTACTTTTCTAAAAGAAAGTACATCATAATTTTCCCCCCAGGTGCTTGGGTAAATCACGGGTCGGGCACGGTAAAGGATGCAGGTGACCATTTGGTGTGGGCGTACACCGCTCCAAGCCTAGGCTACTGGATCGCAGCCCCTCTGCCTGGAACAGCAGGTATAATCGTGGAAACACGGAATGATTTTGAACACCACTCAGTTGTTGTTGCTTTCAGGACAGTCATTATTAACCGAGTTGGGAGGGTAGGATCGGGAGGATAATAATGCAGTAAAGGGAAAGAATGGCTCTCTCTAACTTCCTCCTGTATTTTAAAGTCATTTGGGGTGGGGGGAAAGAGAGGTGGAAATTTATTTTTTTAGAGCAGATAATGTTGCATGCTATTGTTGAAAGTGGCGTCCCCAAACACTTTGGTGGTACAAAATTAGGTTGGTGGTAGCTTCAAAGCATGCCTAGCATTGATCCAGAAGGCATAGGAATCTTAAACCCCCTGCTTTGATGTAGCTCCTGGCCAGACTGTCCCTTCAAGAGGGGAAATGTCCATCTGCTGTTATTGTGTATGCCATTTTGGGGAGCAGATCCATCCCTTAAGTTTTTAAAAAATTAAACATTGTGAATGCTTTTTCGTATTTCATACCAGTGTCATTGTGCATAGGTGTACTGCTCTAAGATCAAGTTCCTTCCATCCCAGAAAGGATAGGACCGCCCCCTCGACCCCTTTGCTCTTCATCTCGGGGCCTACTGCAGGTGCCTGGTCCACAAACCACCCATTTGTCATTCACTAGGGCAAGGTCCTTTTTGGTGGCTGCCCCTGCCCTCTGGAACCAACTTCCCATGGGAATTTGTGCCTTGCAGGATCTGTTAAGGTTCCAGAGGGCCTGCAAGGCTGCGTTGTTTTCTGCAGCATTTAATTAACTAAGAGAATTAACTACCTGAATCTGTTTTATTTATTTGTATTTTATAGGCTTTGTGATCTGTTTTAAGTTTTAATGCTACGTTGTCTGTGCTGTGAACTGCCCCAGGTCCTCTGTTGAGGAGAGGGTGTGGGTTATAAATTGAATAAATGAATAAATAAATAAGAAAAGTACAGGTATCTTTTCTGATCCACTTGATGCCTCCTCCTCTTCCCTATCCAGGCTTCATTTAGATTATATTGCCAGAAGGGAATCCCATGCATATTGTTTGAGGGGTTTTGTTTTGTTTTGTTTTGTCAAACTATCAGGCTGTAACAGATTATATGGCAGCAAGATTGGGTTGCCAGAGTCCCAAAACACCATTAAATCATTTTGGGCATTTCTAGGATAGAGCAGGGACATCATCCATGCCTCCCGTGTGAACTATTTCTGTTTCATTTGGCTTGGAAATTTCTGCCACGCGATTCGCTCTCTGTGAAATATCTTATGAGCAAACGTTCAAGGAAAAGAAGGAGCCACAGTTTGTTAATGAAAACACACCCTTATGCACAAAGGCACTTTTCCCTTATTTGTGTTTGTGATCATTGCAGCAGGTATGACGGATATAACGGAGTACCACACAGTGTTTCTAACGGTCATACTGGGAGGCACCGTTATCATTATCGCTGGGTTCTTTGCAGTCCTCCTGTGCTACTGCAGGTAAGGGGGAGGGAGTTGACTCCATATTTTATGAATCTGTCTGCCTCTCTGTCAGTTGCATTCTCCACCCCCTGGAGCTCAGCACAGCACACAGTCTTCCCCCTTCTCCATTTTATTCTCAAAGCAGGCAGAGAAAGGGTGACAGGCTTACAATCACCCAGTGAGGATTGAAATTAGAATCATAGAAAGGGACCTCCAGGGTCATCGAGTCCAAACCCCTGCACAATGCAGGAAATTCACAAATCCCTCCCCCCACACTTCCAGTGACTGCTGTTCCACACCCAGAAGATGACAAACAACCTCCAGGATCTCCAGCCAAACTGGCCTGGAGAAAACTTGCTTCCTGACCCCAAAGTGGCGATCAGCATTTTCCTGGGTGTGTAAGACAGGACCACGAGAACTAAGCACTGAGGCAACCCTTCCTGCCCTCCCTCTCATGATCTGCCCAAGTTCACAGAATCAGCATTGCTGTCAGATGGCCACCTAGCCTCTGTTTGAAGACCTCCAAAGAAGGACAGCCCACCACCTCCACTGAGGAACCTCTCTAACTGTCAGGAAGTTCTTCCTAATGTTTAGCCGAAAGAACTACATTAGAAAAAACTAAACTAGGATCTTTCGAATTCTGATCCAGCACAGTAAGCCACTACACCATGCTGGCCTTCTGTTTGTTTACATATTACAATTTCAGAAATTGGTCAAGAGACCAGAGGATGGCGTTCCAGTAGGAAAGGAAGCTGAATAGCTGCGTATGGCCAGCCCCAAATGATTATATATTCGCAGTAATGGTCCTGAACTGTTCGTGCCGTTCATCTGCTATCTGTTGGCAGATAAGGGGGAAAGTGTGTTTGCTTTGTCCTTCCCAAAGGCAGTACATATAGATAATTGTTAGCAACCAAACGAGGCAGTTATTCATTACTGGTCTGTTTTGTTCTGAAAGATGCATGCATTAAATATATACACAGAGAGAGACTTTTTGCTCTAATAGAGTTGATCTCTCTCTCTCTCTTGCATGCTCACACATCAATATAAGGCACTTCATAGTTTTAGGACTGTTTGCTGTTCTTCCAGTATATGTTATTCTTTAAACAAATCTAATTTATAGTAGATAAAGGTTTTGTAGGTCTTTCTATGAGGTACATATCCAAAACAAACTGGATGCTGTCCATCTGGTTTGCGGTTTTGAACACAGGCTGTTTAAACCCCATTGATTCCAGTTCGTCAGTGTTCAGGACTGCACCCATCATATCCTAGTATGCCCATCATATCATGGTATACAAAGATGCAGCTTTTCGAGGCTTCTCAATTTTCTATTGTCTCCATTTTCCTAAGGGATAGATGCAGCCAGTCAAGAAGGAGAGGAAAAAATATGACCAAACTGGACATCTTAAAAAGGGACCAGATGACGTCCACCAGTCACATAAATCACCTCGGGATTGCCAAAGGGTCACTCCAGCCAGCAGACAAATCTCAGATGTATTCACCCAAGTTGTCATCCTACAGCCCGCAGAGAGGGGCTTTAGCGGAGGCAGATGAGAGGAAAACTTGTGACAATTTCAAAAACTTCCCAGAAGGTGCTTCGTGCCAGTCGTCTAGCAAGAAAACTCACTCCAGCTCACCTCAGTCCGCGGAACCTAGCAAGGGGGTGAGACATTTGCAAGCAACACAACTCATCAACGGACGTACTTCCCCTGCTAGGGACTCGCAAGAGCAGAACCAGTATCTTTCAACACACGAGGAAATGTACGGGCTCTCGCCTCTGCCGGAACAGTTGCTGCATCTTTATGGCCAGCCTATCGCCATCCTTCAAACCTCCGACCTTTTCCACTCCCCGGAGCAGTTACACACCGCCAAATCAGCCACTTTGCCAAGGAAAGGACAGTTAGTGTACAATCCAATGATGGAGCCCTTGAGTCGGGAGAGTTATACCCAGACGTTACCCAAAATGCCAGGGCACTCTCACCTGCAGCCACCAACTTCCAGAGACGAAACGGCTGTGTCGAACAGGCAGCAGGGCTTATCTCCCCAAGCTGCAAACTGGGGGCGCTACACAAATAGCTTGCTGGAGTCCGTTTCTGTCCCGGGGACACTCAACGAGGCCGTGGTAATGACGCCATTTTCATCGGAGCTTCAGGGCATTTCAGAGCAAACCTTATTGGAACTCTCAAAAGGAAAACAGTCCCCGCATCCCAGGGCGTGGTTTGTGTCCTTGGATGGCAAGCCGATAGCTCAAGTGAGACACTCGTTCATTGATCTCAAAAAGGGGAGGAAAACTGAGAGTAACGACACGAGCTTGGACTCTGGCGTGGACATGAACGAGCTTAACCCTAGTCGGAAACTGGAGAGGGAGAAGACTTTCATTAAAAGTATGCAACATCCTAAGGTTCTCTACCTGGAAGACTTGGATCTCAGCGGCAGTGAAAGCGGGACCACTGTTTGCACCCCTGAAGATCAGACTGTCAAACATATGCCGGACGGAGGGAGTGATCCAGTCCTTCGACAGCCTGCCGAAGAGGTTCCTAGGTCAGAAAGCACAGCAGAAGAGCTTGAGGCCAGCCCTCCTCCAACAAAGAAGCGGGGAAGGCCCATTCTGACCAAAAGAGGTAGCAAAACCAACATTTGGAAGAAAAGAGAAGAGAGGCCGCTCATTCCCATCAATTAGAATGTCCCTTTTTTTGGTGACTTGTGAAATTTTTTCCTCGAGCCCTTCTGCTTCTTATTTGCGGCGTTCAGTTCATAACAGGTTGTCAGAGTTCAGTATAAAGTTGCATACTTTGAAGAGGATGATGCACCTTCGTCCGTGTGATGGATATTTGAGCAACTGGAAGAGGCTCTTAATGTTTCGTTGAGGCTCTTAGTGTTTCGTTGAAACCGAATCGTATTGCTTTCGTTCATTATTTGAGTAACATTTTTTTTAAAAAAATGTATTAAAATACATTTGTGGAAGTGTCTTTGAAGGTGTACATGCAATCCTCTGTAAGAAGCCTGGATGCCGTCTAATTTATCCGGTCAGGATCTGGGCACTCAGGAAGGAAGGAGCGCTGTGCTTTTGATCCTGGGTAGTACTGAATTGCCATGGAAAAGGATCACACAGATAAAAGATGTCGTCGTTTGTTTCTCACAGCCCGTATTTGGTAATGGAGATTCTACTGTGTATCTTTTGATGTAACTGTCCAACTAGGCAGCAAGAGGCCGGCTCTTTTCCTCTAAACGGAGAGACCGGAAACCTAAGCATCACATCTACAGATGGATCATCCTGGTTCTCTGACTGCTATCTTGTATATTGTTTTGTCATGAAGTTCTCTGTATAATCTTTGTGGGGGGATGGGGATTCAGGGACTTGTTATCTATTCTGGATAGTATTTCAGATGTGCACACTCTTCCCCTTTTCATGTTCGACTCCGGTATGTATTGAGCCAAATTGTGCTCTTGTTTTTAGGATATTAAGTTGATTTGTGCTCATGTAAATAGGGCAGGATTTGGTCCTCAGTGTCTTAATATTGTAAATAGCCAGAAGGGATGGCTTTGGGGAAGAGATTTCGTCCAGTAAAGAGGCCCTGTGCTGTTGCATAGCCTTAAAAGAAAAACAACAACTAGAACATAAAGCAATTTGACTTACGTGCCTCATTTATTTGTTAGCTTTGAACTACTTCGACCCCCAGTCTTGAGAGTCCACCATTTATTAGAGGAAATTATATGTGAAAATGTGGTAGACTCAACTGTGATTATAAATAAACTTAGCCATAACCACAAGGATCTTTCCTTTGGCCAAATTGGCCTTATAGGACCGGTCCTGGCCTAATTTTTTGTACCATATTTATTCCCTAATCTGATAGCAGAAGTGCTACAGCCCAACATTAGTCATAGTCAGAGCCCACATTTAAGTGGTGATTTGTCACCGTCAAGATGATATAATGTTACAGTCCTAAACACTTTCAGCTAGAAGCACAGCCCATGGATTCAATGGATTCCAAGTCCCATTTGACAAGGAGAAAAGCAGGATAGGAAAACTTTAAATAAGCGTTTGCAGGATTAAGGCCCAAGGGTGCATTCAGTTTTGTCTGCAGTCATAGTCGTACCCCTGCATAGCAAGCCCGGCTCCCCTCACCAAGCCTTTTGCAGTGCAAACATGGGGGTGTACATAACATTTGAATGGTGATCCAATAGCCTTCCTCCCTCAGTGCTCCGTGTGCATTCATCCTGAAGCTACTCACTCAGTGGAAGGAGACAACCATTCCAGACAGGAGGAGTGTACCATTCTTTGATCAAGGGTACAACTGTAAGGGGGAATGGAGTGTTCTGCCTAGGTCGTCTCCTTACTAGAACTAAATAGGCTTCTAGAAATCACAGATGTTGACAGTTTTGCAAAGGAAAAATAAGTGAGCACGTTCACAATGCCACATTTATTTCACTTCATGCAGCTGCCTTGACAATTTGCTTGCAATTCAGAATTAATTAATGATTTTTCAAGTGCCATGACAGCATTCATCATGGCAACAGGCTGGGTAGTTGATGCTGTGCTGTACTTGCAGTGTGCCGACTTTCTTGGGGGGTGTTTGCTCTGGGGTCATCAGAAGCCATTTAAAAATCCACTCCATAGACTGCATGGCCTGTTCTGGGCCTGTGCAGTTGGCAGCATATACCATGCCGATATGTGCTCCAAAGTGACTGGATCAAACTGCAGTTCCCATGTGGCAGTGCGAGAGCGTGTACATTTTGTTAACAGAAATGGACATGCTCGGCTTTGGAGGTAAGACAGGAAGGCAAAATGGACAAAGCTAGAGTACTAGAGCTAGAATACTAGAGATTAGCTAGGCAGCTTCTCCGATCCTCTACCCTAGCCAGCTTCAGACAGCCATGGAAACCAACTCTTTTTTGTAAGCTGAGATTCCCCACCCCCCCCCCGGGTTTGGTGTGCTTGGGCTGATGGTTGGCAAAGGGAGGACAGCCATGGCAAAATATTTCTGGTCCAAACCTGACAAACAAAATCAGAGACAGTAGGATACAAAGCAGCTCCCTACATCTTCTGTTGACAAGCTTAGCTGCTGTCTGAGGAGAGAGACAGAATCAATTGAGGACCAAGTAAAAAGATCCTTCCCTGGCTTCTTGCACCATTGCCAGGGCCACACACAAAATAACATGCAGACTTAATATCCTTGATTTGCATAACCAGCAGTTTGCATAATATGCAAATTAGGGTGCCGGGATTTGGGGGACTTCGGTGCAAACCCAAAGGGGAAGGTTGCACATCTGTATAAAACACGGTGAACGTACTTCTGCATCGAGGTCAACCCTTCACCTTATGTTTGTTTGTATGCGCCCCAAGTTGTTTCCTAACCCAAGTTGTGCACTATGGAGCATGTTCGTCAGGCTTTCAGGCACTGCCTATTGCTAACTTCCGAGCAGGAAGAAGATAATCAGTGGATCTGGCCGATAGGACAACAGCCATTCATGGAAGAGAATCTATTGTAAAGTTCAAAATGGTTACCAAAAGAATTTTTTTGCATGAAATGTAGCTAAGAGAATATATAGAGGAAAGAAAAGTCCATAAAGGTGCATTTTCTGCTTTTCAGATGGTCATCTTGAGTCACAAATCCAGCTTTGGCTAACAGAAAAGTAGATAATTCGTAGCTCGAGTACCTTATCCAAGCCTTAAAAAATCACCATCTGCTGGAATATTACACCGCGTGTGACTGCTGCAATTTAATTAGAAAGTGACGGGATCAGTTGTGCTTTCGGTTTCTGAAAAGGTATTTATAGTCAAAGTTGAATTAAAACCAGGCTTATCTACACTGTAAAGTTTTTCACACAAATCTTTTTCACCGGTCAGCCTCTGTGAGGATCAGGCTGCCTTTTAGTTGACATTTTTAGTTGACATGGCCTGAATAATGCAACCTAATATTCCTTTTGTTGGTTTTAGTTGAAATTGTGCCACCAAAAAGGGACTCCAAAACTAGGTTTTATAAATTCAAGCTGGAAGTTTGATATCAAAAAACATTTAAGCTTTAAAGAGTGTGCCTGCATCTATAGCGAACAAGTAGTCTTAGGAAAATGTAAGCAGGAAGTATAGTATATTTAAATCAAAGATCAGAGTTTGTTTTTAAATTACAATTGGTCAAAAATGTCCAGGATCAGACTTGTTCTTTCCCATTCTGAAATGCATTTGGAAATATTTTTGACACATGAATGAAATTCTTTTTTGGATTTTTTTAGATAGAACAGAGGAACGGGTTATATACGTAAATTTGAAATTGCCTTCACAATTTTTATGTTTTGCTGCATGGATTTTGGAGCAAAAGAGTATTTATACCAGTTGGCATACACTGCCTGAAAACAACATGCACATTTTCTGTTAGCCAAAAAGGATTTTAATAAAGTTTTGCTAAAAATCGTTCGTATCACTTTTAAAACTTTGCATGTGTGGAATGTTATGTTTCTTTTTAGAAGCATTTTCACCATTAAGGAAGATTTGCCAAAAGACGGATAGAATAGACAACGTTTTTTTACTAAAATATTATAGCCTGGATCCAAAGAACCGCACGCTTCCCTTCCACGTGCCCAAATGTGTTGCGCTTGCATTTCTGAAAGCCTTCATGCCACACGGTAAAGCAGAGAGGAGCTTCAAAAGTTGTATGTTTTTGGAACTGGGGGAATGTGCCATCAAAAGGAAAAAAGTCAAACATGTCAGTGGGCCTGCCTCAAGCCCTTAGACATCACTAAAGAAACTTTTGTCGACGTCTGCCTTTATGCTGCTGAGAGGTAATGCATCTTCAGAGAACTATTTTTCTGTTCATGGGTTACTCTTAGAGGCCGAGGATAACGGTTTACGGTCTAAATCGGTTACGTTTGCTGTCTCAAGGAAATATGCATGTATTTGTGGAACATAACTTAGTCGAGATGGGGATTCTCTTTTTTGGGGTCTGGGGTATAACCAAGCCAGCACCAGTTGGCTGGGTAGAGATAGGGAATGGCATTACTTATTCGTTCATTCTTGAGTTTGACGCCACAGTGCTTGCATACCGAATGGCTGCCTCTCATTGCTTAGGGCTCGTTTATATGTTCAGTAGAATAAAATGGAAATGCTGTTCTTGGATCATGGCCACTTTGGGCTATGAGTGGGAGAATCATGGGGTTTTTTTTAATAGTACACATTAAAATCACTGCTTACATGGGAAAAGATTGCATGGGGGAAGAACACTTTTTCTCTGATGTATTTTCTACCTACGTTTGTGGAGTTGTTGTGGTTTTTCATTTATGCTCCCACCACCTGAAGTGGTATAGTCCAAGAAAAGATTAACGAAATCTGTTGGATGCATACATGAGTTCTGTGTCTGCCTTTTGGAGTGTTCACAAAACAAAGACAACTTGGAACCTTCCCCATAGCTCATTTTCTTGGAACTAAGCAATTTAAATAGAATTTATATCCAAATAATTTAGGAATGCTTCCCTAAAATCGAATGAAAATTGGTTAGCTGTAATGAACATCTAAACATTTAGGATGCATTGTTTCCAAGCAAAAACACTTTTTATTTAAACTTGCTGTTTTATGGGTTTAAAGGCTTTAGTCCTGGGAAGCATCTGAATCGATTCCACCCTTAATGCGAAATAAATATGTGATCAGTATTTCTGGTGTTCTTCTGATACTTCTTAACATTTTGAAAT